TGGATAGAGCCGAAGAGACGATGCAAACGCCAAGGCGGATGTCATTGTCAGCGTCAACAATCGCAATGAATTAACTGCTATTTCCACCGGTGACGATAGGCTTGCAGTAATGCATGGGTCGAACCGCTCATTGCACTACATAAAAATCGTATTTGTTTTCCAAATAACCTACTGTTGCGATTATTGCATCCACCCGTCTCATAACCGGAGTAAAAATCTAATTAGCCAGTATAACTTTATCATACAAGTGTAAACTTAAGTTCACATTTGAGGCATTTTTTGAGCCATGATTTGAAATACCAGTACCACTTCTCTGATGTGCCCAGTATACCTGTGGTGGGGGAGAAATAAATGCACGTACATGACCACGACATGATGAGTCGCACGAATCCAGGTACAAATCTACTAGAATTAAATCAAGAGGAATATAATTTTCTATCAGCTATTCGTAAACCCCTCATGGATATCCTGCTATGCGCTTTGGGAAGCGCTTGCATTTATCACCCCCTGTTGGGCAAAAGCAGAAAGTTAAGCAAATGCATATTCCTAATTCTTATGCGTGGTCGTGTTGCCACAGCCAAATTCACTATTCCTCTTCATGCTTGCAAACAAATCAAGTGGTTTTATGACGAGTGCTAGGGATTTCACTTACCTTGGCGGTCTCAATGAGCCGCGTCGATCCTGCACAAAGACCATACTGCCTTCAAAATGCGCTTCAACATCACATTCGATGTTAATCATTGCGTTATTTAACGACAATGTAATTGTCAAGGTGATATTTTTTTGACTTGACCAACGCTAACACAATATATTGCACATGTATTGATATACTGCTAGTATACTACTGAATACATAATGGAATAACAGAATACTAATAAATTATCATCTTTTTTGAGTTGATATGCCATTGTCTAGGCGCCCCATCAGATGGATCGGCGATCGCAGTGATAGTCTAGACTGCCGCTCAATTCACATTTCCTAAATGCACCTGTTGGAATCTTTTAATCGGTTTTCCTGTTTTATTGAAGCATCCTGCGACTGTCTGCTTAATATTTACGGTTCCTAAGTTAAGCGACGGAATCTTGGCGACCAGCGCAATCTACTGCTCTGATCTTCAGCAAGTAGCAAGTAAGGCTGCCTCTGACTTGATCATTTCCAAGACGTCTTGCAGGTATCCACAACCGGCAGCTTCACCGGTGCCCGACAAATTAGTGCTTTCGTTTAATTTGTGTAAGTATGCTGGGAAATTTGATCTTCCCATATTCAAGGGCAAGGGGATGAAACTTCCAATTTCTTTTAATAAGAGCACACATTTCCAAACAGGGTACTTTGTTTGTATAGCTTACAAATAAATGGTTAAATCAATCCTTTGGTAATACTTTTAGGCCTTTTTTTGCATTAACATTCGCGGCTCATAAAGTACTTGGCTATTCAGTCAGTAGTGCACGACTGCATTGCAAAACATAAAAGTTGCAAGATGATGCTTTGGCAAGTTCTGTCTTGTTGAACTTACGAGATTATTTGCAATATCTCCGGATTTCATCCCTTACTGCCACCCAAATTTGTTGACCTAGTTGCCAGATAATCTTTGTAACAATGTCTAACTTCTTATTGCAAAACAATGGAAATTCTCAGTGCCATTCAAGACAAGATAAAACGGATGCTTTTGAATTCGCTGTTGATGCAGATGATGTCGATACCGATGGCAGGCCTGTGATTAGGCATGTGACTAATATAGCGATGATTGTTTGCCATGCTTTTGCACCTCTGCACTCAGAAACACGAATTTTCGTATCCGAGACAAAATACGATTATAAGTGTTATTCTCTAACTGAGGTATCTTAGTCAAGTAAAGGTGGGAAAGGGGCTAA